ACTGCTCAAGACCGCTCCCAATATCTGCGACAAAATCGATTGTGCCTGATATGCGCTTCATCCCAACACAAGACGGCATACTGTAAAGGGCGCCCCTGCTTAAAGTGCGAGGGGGCGCACCATTCCTCTTGTTGTTTTTCAGCAAAGGGCAAGACTGCGCCGCAGCGCCATAATAGTGACTCCAAGAAGCGCGAGGGCAAGGAAATAATGCGATCCATTAGCAAGACGACCGGACAAAGAGGGGGAGGATCAGAACCAAAGATCCGCTCAAACGTAGTAACGTCCGAAATGTCGCCTGACACAGCGCAGCCAGTCCTACATGCCCATCTTTCAGGCCGGTCGTGCTTACCTACAGGAGAAGTAACAGTCCTAGACCCACAATCCAAGGCACTCATAAAGGTAGACGTTCTCATTGATACGGGAGCAGAGCTATCATTTGTGGATGAGTCCCTGGCACGAAAACTAGGTTTGCCCGTACTTAAAGAGAGAAAAATCCGGATTAATACCTTTGGCACCAAAGAAGTCAAAGAGAAACAGTGCGAGTTAGTACGTTTGGACCTGTGGGACGACGAAGGGACCCCGCACAGCCTTGAGTTATTAACTTACAAGACTTTGACACAGCCCTTCCAGCCTCCTCAACTATCAGTTCAAGATCAGGAGTATTTGCAGTCCTTGGACCTAACGATTTCACCCAAGACCAGAGCGACTATTAACCCCATGATCCTACTCGGATGTGATCTCTTATGGTCGTTCATTCGCACTGATATACCGACAGCCCGACTGCCTTCAGGTTTGAACGTGATGCCAAGCAAGCTTGGGGCATTAATTTCAGGGAAATCTAATGTTCAACCAGTCATGGTAGCCCAGATGCCTCAACATCCGCAAGACGACATAGACCTCTGGGACAGCATCTGGTCAATGAATACCGTCCAATCAATTTGCTTAACCAGCTCAAATGACTCTAAATTTCCCAAGAAGAACGAGACGAATGGGAAAAATATTGGGCCATGGATGCTACTGGAGCGGAAGAGTTTCAAGAAGCTCAGCAAACTGCTCAAGAAGCGCTCGACAAGAAGGTCTGGGACCATTTCAATTCGACTATAGAACGCAGAGAAGACGGCTACTATGTTCGTCTTCCGTGGAAGGAACAACACCCAATACTTACCGGACAACAAAGCCTTAGCGTACAGGCGTCTCAATAGTGTATGGACATATCTGAAAAGGGATGAGGACCTGCTTGACCAATATCCACAATATTTTTCAAGAACAACTGGTCAAGAACATCGTCGAGGTGGTGGACGAGAATGAAGCGGGGGAGCAATTTCAAGTTCACTACATCCCTCATCAACCGGTGCTGACCCCATAAAACTACAACTAAGCTGAGAATAGTTTTTGACGCTTCTGCTCATTACAAAGGGTGTCCCTCTTTGAACGACGTCCTACACAGAGGGACCGGTAATACTTCCTCGCCTTCATGGTCTACTTCTGCGATTTCCGAATTGGTGCAATAGCTCTCACGGCCGATGTTGAAAAGGCCTTTCCTCCAAGTCCGGCTACACGAGGCAGACAGAAATGCCACAAGATGCCTATGGCTCCAAGACCACAAGAAGCCTCCTACTGCGGACAATCTCCAAACACTCCGGTTTACACGAGTAGCATTTGGGCTCAAATCCTCACCTTTTCTCCTAGCGGGCACAACCCACTACCATCTGGACGGATACCCGCAAGAACCACTAGCCCAAGAAATCAAGAACAACCTTTATGTGGATAACCTCCTTTTGACAACAGACACTATCGATGACTCCATACAATGCTATTGGAAGTCGAAACGAATATTTGAGGATCTGAACATGAATTTACGAGAATTTACCTCAAATAGCGAGGAGGTTATGAAAGCAATAAAGGAGCCGGATAAGGCTATCAGTCCGTCTCCCAAAGTTCTAGGGATTCAATGGAATAAGACCACGGACGTTCTAACCCTATCCTGCTCTATACCAGATATTTGTCCGATTACGAAAAGAACTATAACGAGCGCGATTGCCACCATCTACGACCCCATGGGCTGGTACGTCCCGCTACTTCATCGCGCAAGAGTCTTCCTACAGAATTTGTGGAAGGAGCAGTATGACTGGAATACCCCTTTAAGCGCAGCGAAGGCAGACGAGTGGCGCCAAATCAGGACCCAATTTGACGGCTTCCACAAGACTTTACCAAGATTCCTGACACAAAAAAGAAGCACAGTAGTTCTCGCTGCCTTTTCGGATGCAAGCTCCAGTGGAATGGCAGCCTGCACCTATCTTTGTCAGGATACCGTAGCCAATCTTCTTATGGCCAGATCTAAACTACCAGCCATACACGGAAAAACTACCATACCGAAACTAGAACTTAATGCGATCACGTTAGCCATGAGACTCACCAACTTTGTGATGACACATCTGGACTCCGTTCTATGTATCCAAGAGGTTTACCTACTGTGTGACTCTGAAATAGTCCTAGGATGGCTAAAAAGTAAGCCAAGCCGTGAAGTTGGAGTTTTCGTACGCAACAGATTGACCGAAATTAGACAAATTGCGACCAGCTTGATAGAGAAGGGTCACTTCGTGAAATTCGGATACGTTGCGTCTGAAGAAAATCCTGCCGATTGCGGGTCGAGAGGGCTGACGAAGGAAGAACTTTTAGAACATTGTTGGTGGACGGGCCCACAGTGGATCAATGAAATCGGCTCCTCCAGTTGGTCACTTCGATTCAGAGTATTCAGCCTCCCAGAAGATGAGGACGGCGATGATCCTGTCAAGAACGAATCAAGAAGAATATTTGCTACCATAGCTTCGAAGGCAGCTCCATACGATCCGGAACTTATCCAACATGGACACGTACACACGTTCACTAAGGCAAAACGAATTGTGGCATATGCTCTTCGGTTTCTTGAGAGCAATAATCACAAGATGTAGAAGCCGGAACAAGAACACAATAGTGCTCTCAGAAATACCGGACGCACCCCCAAGAACCTACTCTTCGTTCCTTTGTGCCAGTGAAATGGAAAGCGCCGGTAAAATTATCATCAAAGCTCATCAAAGGTTGAGAGTCACCAAAGTGATCATTGATTCCCTCAAGAACCTTAATATCCACCAAGACGAAAATGGTATTCTGCGCTGTTATGGGAGACTGGGACGTGCGCAATTAGACTTTAATGCAAAATATCCCATCCTTTGTACTGCAGAAAACTCTTTTGGCCAGATAATTATTCAAGAATGTCACGAGCAAGGCCATCCAGGGATCAACCACACAATCAGCCTTGGTCAGGCAAGAATTTTGGATCCCACAGCTCCGCGCACAGGTCCAGCGAACGTTCGCAAATGCATCAGGTGCCAGAAATTTAATAATCTTCCCTATAAGTATCCAGCTCAAGACGAACTTACCTAAAGAACGGGTTGTGAGGTCACGACCGTTCCAGCATGTTGGCGTGGATTACTTTGGCCCTTTAACGGTGATACGGGAAGAAGGGAAAGAAGGAAAATGCTATGGGTCCATAATTACCTGCATGGTAACGCGCCTACTACACCTTGATATTGTGTCCGATCTTTCCACAGTGGCATTTTTACATATGTTACGAAGGTTTTTTGCTCGGAGGGGCGTTCCCGAAACAATAACTAGCGATAATGCCCCCACTTTCTTACTCGGTGAGGCCATTCTTCAAGACGGCTTTCGGGCCCTGCAAGAAGACCCAGCTCTGGCCGGGGTATTGAGCAGTCGGGGAATTGAATGGAGGCATATTACGCCATACGCCCCCTGGCAGGGTGGTTTTTATGAAAGATTGATCAAATCTATCAAGCAATCACTTTACAAGACTCTGGGGCAATCCGTAGTGTCATTTGAAGAAATGCTAACACTCGTGGTCGAAATAGAGTCCATGCTCAATACACGTCCATTGACGTACGCCACTACCGATTTGGACAACACCGTAGCCCTTCGACCAATAGACTTTCTACATAAGCACCTTTACTCTCATTTCCTCTCCTTACTCAAAAGGATCAAGACCTTGATTACATTCCACCGGAAGAAATGCCTGCGATTCAAACCAAACAACAAGCGATCGCAGCATTGGAATCATCGTGCAAATTGACGGAAAAATTTTGGCAAGTGTGGCAAAATCAATACCTTACAGAGCTCCGCGAGAAAGCACATCTTGAATGTGGGTCATAAGAGAGGATCATCCCAACCACCCCGTGAAGGAGCCTTAGTACCTAATATGTGAAGCTGTACTACCACGTCACCTGTGGAAAACAGGAATAATTCAAGAACTTGTCACTAACACTAAAGGAACAACACGGGAAGCGGTGGTCCGACTACCTTCAAGACGACTAATTCGACGGCCAATCAATCTCCTAGTGCCACTTGAGTTAGACGAACTCCCTCAATAGCGACAACTAAGACCAAGTCAGAAGACCAAGAAAAGGACAAGGCCAGTAGACCGTCAGAGAAGTCCACAAATGAGACGCTATTGACTGATCAAGACCAAGACTCATCGCGAGCGAAAAATCGTCGCTGCAACTTCCGAAAATGACCACGGCTTAACTACGACGAATGCGACCATCCTCCGTCGCCCATTTTTCGTCTAAGTGGGTTGTCTTTGTTTAGTGTGATACAAATCATCATTCAGATAGTTCTCATCTTGACACCCAAAGTATCGAGCTTAGGGGCAGCCCAAGACACCTCCACTCAAAGAGGTTTATCCAGTGCGTTCAAGGGAGGGGTTCAACCTGTATTCACCGGGATGAATCCCCTACGAAATTTGCGCTGAGCAGTAGCGTCCATTTCGATAAACCCCAAATATCCGAAAACGTGAGTTTCCCTCCTGATGTAATTGTACACAAACACCGTGTACTATGGAAATTCCTTCAAGGGGAGTCCGTGAACACCATCGAAACGCTCTGTCCAGCAGCATCATTCTGTCAGTCTCTGGACTGCACATTTTGTAGTGCCAACATTTTTAACCCAGAATGCTGGCCGACGAGGGCAATACCTGGCGCGATGGCAATTATCTTCTTCGTGATCACAGGATGTTACGTATTCCTTTACGTTCCACTAGTTGTGGGATGTTAAGGATACTAATGAATCTCGGCTGGAATCTATTGAAATTTGTCGTCCGCAAGATGAAAAGTTTAGGGAGTCAGCCGCACAAATCGGGCGACCACTCGTCGCAGGAACCTGGCCGAAATAATAGCAATTTTATGCTTCACTGTTTCAGATTTCGGCTGGATGTCAGATGGTCGAATATTCAACCACTACTCAACCGTTTGCACGGACCATACTTCAGGACCATGTCAGATACGGCTATCAGAGGTCCTCAAAATTAACGCTTTCAGCGAGAAGCATGCCTCCGTCTTTCTAATAACAAGACTCCACATACACGAAGTCCGGTTGAAATGGAATTCAGTCGACTTACGCTGCGAAGCGGAAACCGAACTCTTCACAAGAGACACCACGCATAAAATTGTCGATAGCAAGCGCTGCGCCACACAGGGTTTGTGTAAAGACGATAAATGTGGATCAATTAATTCCTCAAGCAAGATCACGGACTTGGAACCCGGAAACGGATTCCCTGGTAACACATTCCGCGCAGAATCCTGCGGAGGACTAGGGTGTGAGTGTTTCCTACCAAGCTCCGGATGTTTTTCTATAGAATTTATCTTGTACCGATAAGTGATGTCGTATACGAAATTTTTCACTGCAATAGGTGGGCCGAAACTGCAAAAATTGCCATCACCCATGTTGATAAAATTAGGGACAAGACATCAGTTACTACCACTAAAATGATGCCGAACATTCCCAAGAAGTGGAATTCGTTGAGCCTAACGCTTTCTTCTTTATCCCTCCCACCACTACCCCTGCTCAATACTAGGTTCATAACAGATTCCAAGCATATAGCCATTTGGGGGCCAAGCGCAAATCCAGCATTACAGTGCTCGAACTTCAGTAGCGCTCAAGACCTTCAATGCCAAGTCTTCGAAGACTGCACTTGCCAACCTGCAGAAACAAAAGCGAACTGCAGGTGCAGGGACTTCCCAATAGGATTATGGTTCAATACCCTCCGGCATCGCCTGCCTATGACCTTTCCATCCCTGACATTCTTACAGCAAGAAAAAACAGTAATAGCAAGAGTGTCCAATATGGTGATGTCAGAATTTGTGATGACTTTCGAAGACGTCTTTGAACCCTCTATACTTGGTGGATGACGCAATTTGCAAGAATCGAGGATGCAGACATAAAAATGCTATAACTTCGCGAAGGGTGCCTTTGCTTCAGTGAAATGTACCTCCTCCCGAGACAATATGCTAGCTGAAGTGAACCTGCGGTCAAAATGTATTCTCCATACCATGTAATTCCAGCGGAAGCGAACCATACTGCGATTCAGTTTCTCTTAGGCTCAAATTCAGTTGACTTGCTCAGTATCCTGCGGCAAAGTGTCGAGCACCGGAAATATACAGGGAATTCTAAAATTCACTGGTTCTGTAACAGGTATCCTAGAGCAGTGGCTTACAGGGACACCAGCGACTAGCATTGACATTTCGTGGCCAGACTTTTACCACATAGCTACGGTATTCCTCCAATATTACAAGACGCTTTTAGCAGCAGTTTTGGGCCTAATGATCATCCTAGGACGTACTTATCTGATACTGTCGACCTGTGGGCTTCGTATCGCAATGTGGATTTGCTTGTTGGGGCCAAGAATAGTTATAGCATCCGTGGAATTTCTGTGCAGATGCCTTCAAGATAGCAAGAAGAAAATTGGGCATAAAAAACAGCACTAAGAGATCGAAATTTCCTGCGTAGATAATAGAGCCCTAACCAATATTCACTAAAGATATATATGTATATAATACTAATTTTTTACACAAGATTTTGTTACGGATTTTCTTCCAGGTCGATTTTTGTGATCCGAGATGCTAGAGGAAAGCTTCTTCCTAAAAGACTTTGGTTTCTTAGCCAACATCCACGAAGAATCTTCTTCGGACAGAAATTTAGAGATGGACATGGGAGCGACACTTGATGAGATCTATGACGAAATTAAAGCATCTGAAGCTCTCGACACGTCGTGGATGCATCACCTGATCCGCACCACATGTGCAAATATCAGCGGAGAAGAGCTTGCACGGCGCACGAATCGTTTTCTCGAATCTGCCAGCACTTCCAGAGATAAGATATTGCGGCTAACCCAGAGATATCTCCTGCTTGACTCCACTTTCTTGTCGCTGATAAAAGGCAGCCAACTTCCGGCGGAGAGACGTGAGCAGTGGGAAAAACAGAAGACGAAACACGACGTTAATGCCGAGAGCGTCATGGTCACCGTTGATAGGAACCTCACCAAACTGGAGCGAAACATCGAAGAAATGAAGTACGAATTGGCTCAAATCAACAATGTCCAGAAAGAGGAGAAAGTGGCGCATCCAGTTGAGCATGATCAGATTCGGTCCTCCAAGGCTCAGGTGCGAGGACAACTCTCTACGGCAGCAACCCAGACCTCCGTACAAACTACTTTCCATTAGTAGCCTGTAGCGCAAGTACGTTTGCCCCAAAGGCCAGTTCCTCTACAACCCGTTTCCCTGACGATGCAATCGACATATACTCTGTCTGTGCGCTTTTCTGCGCGCCCGCTTATAAACTCGTTCCAACCAAAATCCGTCTAGCAGATACATTTTTGGCTCTGCTTTCCTCGATGCGAGTGCCACAAGGTTAAGGTAGAGCTCCATTGATCCTGCCCTGTACGCTTGCCGCCTGTAAGTTATTCGTGCCTGCTTCCCAGTGCCATGATAGTGTTCCTGTGCCGTCCCGTCCAAGGCCGATTTCGGAGCCGCTTCTTTTGCTTAATTGACATGTGAATTGCAATCGTCCGCCGATCAGCATTATCTGACCTGTATCTTGTTCCAGTGGGTCTTGCCCGTACGGTATTCTAGAGTATTTTCCAATTGTCGCTCAGTGGATTGCTAGACATTTCGATCGTTTGTCGCACTCCAGTGACAGGTGAGTCCCATTAGTGCAGTGTTTTGGCTGAGAGCGCTCACAGGGGGTGTGCATTGTGTGCTCGTCGAGTTTTATTTTAAAAAACCGGCTACTAATGGCGATAAATGATGCTCGTTCAGTTTTTCATGGTTGCAGTAGGTTGGTGCATGTGCTGTAAATGTTATAATGGTTATATGGCCGATTGCTAATGCTGCCTACGATTAATCTCATCTAGAATATTCAAAATTGTTCTTAGTGCTACCTTCTTGTAATGTGCCCTTTTTGTCTCTCCTCAGTTCGCCTTTATCATCTGCAGTACCAAGTCAGCGGGCGGTGAGGCTACGCATGGTTAGAACATATTTATAACAGTAGATTCTTTGTTTTCGTTTTGCTTCAGACAAAAGGGAAATTTGGCCAGGTAATGTGCTACCTGTCGCTTTTCAGCCATGTGTGGATCAGGAGAGAATCGTATCTGCCATCGGACTCATATACCACGCTGGCCAATCACGCATCCAACTTAGCAGCCTAATTGCGTCAAATGTACTTTTAGTGAGTTTGTGCGCGGCGCAACCGAATGCTAGGATTAGTTGGATGCACTGATGTCTCTCTGATGAAGTCCTTTGTGAAACATATAATATCTTCTTTCCATTTTTCTAAGTAACGTCTATCTAATTGTGCGTTCTCTAGCCTCAAACTTTGTACAGATTTCATGCCAGCTATATGCTTATAAATTTGGCTTAATCGAGTCATCTCCCGAGCTCTAAGTCAGCTTAGTTCCGTATATGGGACATATGAAGGCAACATTAGGCGGAATAACTTTTCTTGCTAAGACGTCTAATGCTTGGTCAGTGCCTCTTGGAGGAAAGTCAGTCACTGTGTTAGTTATAAGACAGTGGTTCGGACGGTCTTAGCAGACCGCGATCGGCGTGGCCTTCTGTTTCTGCTTGAATGAAAATAGGTTAGCTAGCCTCCAGCACTGGTTCATACATTTTTCATGTAATCTTAAGTCATGATAATAGGAAAATACATGAAGAGATCACTCGTTGTAATAATGACCTATTTTGAAGACATGCGCGCCAGAGGGAACCATCAGAAAAAAAGACGCTTAATAGGTCGCTTATTCATAGACCTAGACCCCTTTTCATTTAATTAAATCAGTCCAATAATTTCAGATGCTGAATGGAAGCAGAAAATGGTGTATGAATGGTGATACAACTTTACAATCAGGGCTGCGCTCGCATCCTCTATGACTTTTGCTGTGCAAATCAACGGCGTTTCATAGCTTGATACGTCGACTCATGCGTGTATGTGATCTTTCTATTTCGCTAACGCGCGTTTCCGTTTTGAAAACCTTCTGCGTTGTTTGCAGCGATTCCCTATTGGCGTTTCATCGCTGAAGCACAACTTGCTGTATGGTCACACGACCGTAATCACAATCAAGGGTTATTTACTTAAGCGATGTTTTGGATGTCTTTCTGCCTGAAACCTTTTCCCTTCTTTCCCTTCCTGAAAACCCCGTGGGTTATGCCGCCAGCACCTTCTCTCTCGGCAGGAGCAATTTTGCCCTAATAGAGATATTCTGTACTTCAAATCGGTGTTATTGTTAGGCTCGTCGAGACCATTTTCCGGAGTTCTAGTTCTATTATTCAAAAGACCGCTGGGCCCGTAGCAGCAGGAATATTCCGCAGCCACAGCGACCCTGCATGAAAACCGATGCGAGAGTCTTGCGGAGAAGATCACAAGCTTCCTAATAATCTCACAGAAGCCTATGAAAAGTTTTTCAGGATGCGGCTCTCTGTGCTTCTCCCAGGGTCTGTTTCCCTTTAGTTTGGTCGTGATAAAATCTTGCAACGGGAATGCTGCGTTTGTGAGATGATCGGAACGTTCATGTGAGTACCATAGCGTCATAGTTAGTAGTTTTTTCGCCGGAATGATTTCCAATGAATTTATTTCTTTTCTCTGGGTGTTATGAACGCGAATCACGATTTCTAGGGGATTTTGAGTTGCTCGTCTCACGCTAGTGTTTTTAGTAACGCAAGCGTTTAAAGCAATCAGGAACATTTCCAAGGAAAGTATTTCGAAAGCTAGCCATTGATGTTTTTGAATACAAAAAGAAGAGCAGGGTTTTTTTGGCTGCTTGGCGCGTAATAATTCGTTGTCGTGGCATAATACCATTTGTGACCCTGCTGAGCTGAGTTATTGTCAGCGGTGGGTGGGGTTTTTAAACAGTCATATCAGATATGGCCGAAGACTTCCACGACGTCTTATCTTGTCGAGTTTCCGATGACCTCTATCTGGGTAAGGGGTTGGTGAGTAGCACGCCTAGGTTTAGGGTTCGTGCTTCGAACTATTTGTATAACCAAATATTACATTTTCGTCTATAGCATGTGCTGTCTTTTCCGTCATGGCTGTGTTCTGTATTTTCGGTTGTTTCTTACTAGTTTTTGTTTGGGTTTTTTGGTGTGGTGGCAGTGGTTTTGTCGCGCTTGTTAGTTTGTTGCTTTGTTTTGTGGCGCGTTTTTGCTTGTTTGATTTGTTGCTGGGTGTGGGGGTTTGCTCGGTTTGTGGTTGGGGTATTGTATCGTTTTTTGGGTGTGTGCCTTGAAGTTTCTGCCGACTTTTGCTGTAGTAACCAATTCTCTCTCCCATGTCATTCATCACTTCAGAACGGGGCCCGACTTTACCAACTTCCCTTCAAGAATCCCCAAATATAACTCGCACTTCCATTTACCTCCATGCGAGCGACGAGTGATTGAACGCAGGAAACGAAAATGTCTATCGTTATCGACTCTTTCGAGTCAGCTTCTTCTAATATATTGGCAGGAGAATGTATAAACTTGAGGGGCGGGGGCTGTTGAAGTAATTAATAATGTAAATCATTTCAGATAGGGTCCCTGTCGAATCGAAAACCTTCAGGTCCTGATTTTCCAAGGGAAATAAATGCGAGTTTTGCCTACAACCTGCGCCCTTTTGAGAGAAAAATTCGAATGAGGTACTTTTGGTGGGGAAAGTGAAAGCGGAATGGGCGTAATGCAAAAATTGAATTAAATGGGCAACTTTGCTTATCAGCAGACCCGTCAGGCTCGTGTTTCGGCATTATGGCGCCTGATATTGAGTTTAGAGATGGGAAGTGGAACGATAGTGAAGAAAAAACGAAAAAAAAAACTGTCGACAACACCTAAATCGAAACCCATTTCCTTCTAGCAGTGAAGGAGGCTTTGCTCAGGGTCAAGCGTGCGTTGAGGAATCCTCGACATGTCACAGGGGGGGGGGGTCGTATTGGCCCGCTGGGAGGAAGAGATCGGGCCGGATTGACGCGGTAGGATCATCACCATCGGAGGACAAACATCAAGGGTCGATGCCAGGCCAGAGGATTTCCAATAACAATGTCATTCTGCCCACATTCGTGATTCAGAGATGTCCGCTTAGCAATTCTTAGTTACTTGTCCTCTGACGGTGATGATCCTGGTTTTGTCACCATACAAGTTAAACAATTCGAAATAATTCGCACTTTTTCCAAGGATATTTTATCTTTCAAGTGAGTCCTCGAATCTGAAAGGGATGTGAAGCACATGGCGCATCCCAGAGTGGGCTTAATTGGTTGCGCGCACTTCAACTACGGCTCTGAAGAAAGAACCTCAATTCAGGAAAAACTAAGAGGATTCTGAAAGGATCCGTGTGAAATTACAGTTAGGGAGTACACCATTCAAAAAGAAACACAGTCTTCAGCGTCAAATTCTTAAGCACGTAACCCTTAAAGTTGAGATACACTAAACTATTTTACACTTCTTGGAAGAGAGAAGCAGGAGCATTTCGAATCTGCCCCTACTTTAGTATGTAATCGCCTCTGAAAGGAGCTATAGCCGTTGAAATAGGGCCAATGCAGCAAAAAAGTACCTTTCGGCGGTACTCGGGCAGAAATCCTCAACGTGGCCATTTCTTTAATACTGAACGTATTTAGCAGCTCTAACCAACCTTTAGAATAGAGCAAATCTTCTAGTTTATGACGTATATTAGCTTTCCAGAATGGATGAGTTTGAACGGAGTTATGGCTTTGGAAAGCGTAAAACTCGCACTCATCGCAAATTTTCCTCGTTAATTTTGCAAAAATCCTCAACGTGGCCATTTTTTAGTACGGAACGTATGAAGTTGCTTTAGTAACGTTTGATAGAGAAAGTCTTCTAGTTTTGTCTGCCATATTAACTTTTCGAATTTGACGAAAATGAAGCAAGTTATTGCTTCGGAAAGTGTAAAAACTCGTGCTCATCTCGAATTTTCCTCGTTAATTGATCCTAAATTTGTTATTTCTTATAACTTTTTGTAATTTCAATACTGATTAGAAAAAGCTCTTCACAAAACTCCCAAATCTGCTTTCAGATTGAAAATTCGTCATATTTGAAGAAAGTTATAATCATTTGAATATTTGTTCAAATTTCAATAGTAAATAAGCTGCTCCACGGTCAACGCCAAAGATCAGTCAGCACACAGCTGGCTAAGGCGGTTACAAGGCTTTTATCAATTGAAAGGGGGACGTTTAAATTGAGAACCATGATCTGTGTAGTACTAGAATTTGGTAAGTGTTATGAAGGAAATAAATAGAGAAGAGATGTTGTCATAGTATGCCATTTTTAGTGAATAGTTTGTCGTTTTTGCTCCTTTTCTCGTTTGCTCGTTTGGTAGGCTCATCATTAATGATCATTCTTTGACTTTTTTTCACTTTTTTAGTTCCTATAAGAATTTTTTGGTGGACGGTGGGGTTGCAGGGCTCTTTTGAACATTTTGGGTGAGAATTAAACAACCTTTTCATAGCTCTGTTTTTGAAAAGGGTCGTTTCATGGACTTCGGCCTCTGGGGGGGGGGGGGTCGTATTTCCAAATTTTCCTCGACGGTTCGCTTGACCCTGGCTGGGTAGAGTCACGTCCAAACGAGTTTTTTCGGATATGCGTCAGCCGTTCCTATCGGTTGAATACGGCAATCAACCTAGCTGATCTCACACGTGTTAGGCCAGCCACGCACCACATCCCGCGGTGGGCGATCCGTGCTGCGGGAAATTCTCGCAGCACGGCAGCACACAATGCAAGGCCCTAGCGCCTTTGCCGCGCACTTCTTTGTCGCGACAGCCTCACACCCCCTCTGCTTGGAGACCCCACTTTTGCACCCTATAAAGGACTTCCTAATGTTCCCTAATCCTGACTCGTGGCTTTAACGGCATAGAGCGAGTCTTTTAGCCTTTCGTGCTGCATATGTACCTCCTCTATCCTTAGCGAGCATTCTTTGTTTCTCAATGTGATGTTTTCAACAGCTTAAGATCCTCCAGCAGATCTGTCTACGCTTTCTCACCATCCGTTTTTAGACCCGTGTAATTAGACTAATCGTCGCTATTTCTTGTTTTCACTGGAGTTACGTCCACATGTACATAGATGTGTCCCTATACGATAATACAGCGAGTTTGGTGAAATTAGTCCTGGCGCCAAATTGGCGCCAATTGGAGCCAGATGGCGCCAACGTGAAAAATGAAAGCCATTTCCGTGACCCCAGGCTCGAATGACCCGCTATACCAAAGTTCCTAAACGAAAGTTAAACTTTGGATTTTGAGTTGTAATAGCGAATAGTCCCAGATCTTTGATTGAAGGAAGAAAGGGAAAATCTCTACCAACGGCGCACGAAGTTATACGAAGTGGGCCAAAATTATGAGGACTACGTGCGCGCGGCCATACCCAATTTTTTCGACTCCCTTCAACTTCATCTCCTTTTCCATGTGTTTGGAACCACCATAGATGGAAAACTCGGAGACTTGAAAGATCAACCACAGGATAGTTACAGATCAGGTACTAGCTTGCCCCCTTGTTGAATTTTCGCACTCCCAAGAATGAAAAAAATCGATGAGAAACCCAGCCAGACACTATCAAGACTCCACATCTGTAGTGGATAGAAAGCCGCGAGTACTCTACTTAGAACTTTTTACAGGACCGAGCACCCAAGAAATAAAGCAAAAATCCTCTAAAAAGCAATTTTTCGAGTTCGTTGCTTCCGAAGAATTGTTACATTGGAACCTTCTCACCTAATATCTACAGATTTCTGTATTTTGCATTCTGGAGGGAAGGGCAAGTAAATGTTCCACAAAACTTCGATCCCCTGAAGAAAGCAGAGCAGAAGCCCTGGAAACATTTTGAAACGCCTTTCGTTTTTTGTGCACCGCACGCGCCATCCCCCTTCATCTGAAGGCTCGTGTAAACGCGGCAGGTGGCAG